ACCCCCCACCCCCCCCCCCCCCCCACTCCTGGTTGGCTTCCTTCAGACAAAGCAGGCGACATTTCCCTGGGCAGAACTTCATAGCTTTGAACTGAACCACCCAGGAGAGAATCATCTAATGCTCACAGAGGAGCCACATAAATTTCTTATATCCCTATGGTTGGTTATCCAGGTAGGAGAGGGACTGTAGGAGGTGAAGGACAGGAAGCCCAAGGGGCAACATGCATTGAACATCCTGGCAGTATAGTAGGTGTTTTCATGGCTTTATCCTATTTGTGCTCCTCACTGCTTAAGATAAGTCAATGATTAGAAGCAAAGGTAAACTGAGTAACAAGAGCCTATCCCATCTTAGTCACCAACCACTTCATCGGCAGCAGTGATGGCACTCTCTCAGCTCCCTTCCTTACTCAGAGTGGTGCACACCTGACCTCAGTGTATTATTCATTGGGCTTTCAATACACTCAGGCATAGAAGCTATTTCTTTCTCAGAATCCTGTTTTCCAGGTCCAGATTATGATTTCCTTGTAAACCTTGCCACCTGCTGGTCAGAATGTGCCATCTTCCAGGGTGGAGAATTTAGGAAAAATGGATCTTTTACCCTAGTGGAACAAAAGATAAAGATTTCCCTTCTCTAAATAGGCAGGTAGGCTGATGAGAGTTTTGTACATGCTATTTGGTACCATTAGCACCTTCAAAATGGCTCTAGAGTAGGATCTGAGAAAAGCCAAAAGAGAGTTGTACCAACCCATGCCAGTGAGCAAAAGACCACCTTTAGGCCCTTCCTACTGAGAGTGAGCTACCTCTCCCCTTCCCCTCGGAGTCAGTAACCAGGCGTCACCTGCCAGGGAGGGGGCAGGAAAGATTATATAGTACTTTGCAGTAAGAGACATCACCAGTGTGTAGAGAGCACAGAGTAGTTGTACCTCCTAAGACAACAGAACAAAATTTGAATGGCTCTATAAAAATTAGTAGCTTTTAAAAATTAATTTATTGCCAAGTGATATACAGTGAGTGAATATATAAAATAAATTAAAAAAAATTAATTTATTAATGGAACTAGCAGATTGTGTGGTTACATTACTGGACTCCCACATAGTCAGCCATGGTTTGAGTCCCGGACCGAGTGGCTTAAGACCCAGGCCAGCACATGTTTGCAGGTGCCCAAAATCCTGAGAGAAGAATAGAGGAGAAGGGATTGCAGTGTGGCCATCTCCCCTGGGAGTGATTTCTTCTTTTCTGTCTCTCTGGCAAGTACACACATCCTATAGCAAAAATCTCTCTCTTAAAAAAAATTAATTTAATAAAAACACTCTCAGATTAACATGCTAACCTACTGTAGTGTTTAAATTGGCTTTAGCTCTGGGAAGGAGAGTAGTAAAGTAGAAAGGATGGGCTTTAGGGACTGACTGACCTGGGTTTGAATGCCCATTCCTAGAAAGTCACTGAGCTTACTGGAGTCTCGGTTTCTGATAAAATATGAGTAATTATAATACTCCTTTGTGGGGTCTAGGAATGATTTAATTTTGTATGCCCCCTTAACCTGCAGTGTATGTCTAATGAGACTTATTTAGCACATCCTTTACAAAATATCTGGTACTGGTAAAGATGGCCATAGCTAAGGCATTATCTGGATCACACTAAGCAGTTTTCAGAGCAAACATTACTTAAAATTATCATGTGACTTTATCATAGTTCTGTACTGAAGGTAAAGGAGAAAAAAAGCTTTGGAAGATCTTCACATTTATACCGAATAGGGTGACATTTGAGATGAGCATTAAAGGAGGAGAAGGGATAGGCTCAAAAGAATTGGGAGTCAAGCAGACCAGAGACCAAATCCCAGCCCTACCATTCGCTAACATTATGATCTCTGAATGTGAGATTCCTTTCTTGTAAAATATCGTGGCTCTACTTACCATGTGAGTTCCGACAAAGTAAAGGAACATATATGAGGCACCTGGTATGAGGTCTGTAGTCAAGAAATGACAACTGTTGGTAATTTAACAAGGAGCAAAAAAGGGGGGGGGGAGATTGGATATTGTAGAGGAGTCAGTGTGTACAAAGGCAGGAAATAATTTAGTTTAGCCAGGATGTGGGCCATGGGCAGCCCTTGAGCCCCACCCAGGGACCTAGCCTCATGGTTGTTTTGTCTCTTCAGGTAGTCAACATGTCCTTGAAGATCCAGACAAGCAATGTAACCAACAAAAATGACCCCAAGTCCATCAACTCTCGTGTCTTCATTGGAAACCTCAACACAACTGTGGTGAAGAAGTCAGATGTGGAGACCATCTTCTCTAAGTATGGTCGTGTAGCCGGCTGCTCTGTGCACAAGGGCTATGCCTTTGTTCAGTATGCCAACGAGCGCCATGCCCGGGCAGCTGTGCTGGGAGAGAATGGGCGAGTGCTAGCTGGGCAAACCTTGGGTAAGTTAAGCCTCTCTCTACAGTATTCTTACAGTATTTACCAGAGTAGCTGTTGTCCTTCACTTTCGAACTGTCCTCTTAGCCTTCATTTTCCCCTACTAGTTTTACTGATTTTATAACTTAACATGTTGTAAAGTCAATGCCTCTAGAGCAGAATTTTAGAAGCCACTGGGAGATACTTCTGTACTGTCCCTTCTTTCTAAGTGCTTTTTAATGACAAGCTTAAATGCAGACCCCCATCCCAAAGGGAATAGAGTGGACTAGCTTAGCCTGTTACATTGGACTACAGATGGCTTATGTAAGAACCCTTTCTGAGAGCTGGGAGGAGAGGCTAGGAGCACAAGGACAAAGTGGATACCTTGGCACTACATGCATGTGATATAACCATGCTGGCAGTCTACCTTGGAGACCTTGGAGTATGTATGTTGTTTATTTGTATACATACTTCTGTGTATATGTGTATCTTTGAGAAGGGATATCTATATATGTATTTTTGAATACAAGGTATATGGATATGACTGGACATGTGGAGAGTATGTGGACACGTATCTTTCTGTATCTATTATGATGTATGTGTCGGAATATACTTGAGTGTATAACATGCATATATTCCTTTACCAAGTACTCATTAAGATTCTGCCCCATGCTAAGCAGTTCTAGGCATCAAGATGTTTGATAGAATGTCCATGTCCTTGCACGCTTGCTCATTTGCATATGGGCAGTTATGTAATATATTATATTATGTTATATTACATAACTGATTATATATATATATATATATATATATATATATGTATATATAAA